CAGTGTGTGGAGAGCGACGGGGCGGCCAGAGCGCAGCCGGTCGCCCGAGGCGGAAGGCGCCGCGCGGCGTCAGCAAAGGCGGCGTCGAGGTCGTCGCGACGCGAGCCTGCCGTGCAGGAGAGCTCGGATCGGCAGGCCAGGCCGGCCCTTCCAGATCGCCCCTCCTCCTCCTCCTCCTCTTCCTCCTCCTCCTCCTCCTCCTCCTCCTCCTCCTCCTCCTCCTCCTCCTCCTCCTCCTCCTCCTCCTCCTCCTCCTCCTCCTTCCTGGACCCCCCTTCCTTGGCGGGCGGAGGGCATCAGGGGCAGAGCCAGCGCCGATTTGGGAGTCTCTGGCTCAAGGCCTGGGCTCGAGGTGCGACCCTCGAGCCTCGACTCGGTTGCAACATCTGGAGAGTCACACTCAGCATCGGCGCTGGTATACCCGCGGTCGGAGACCATCCTGCTGCGGCCTGATCCTGCTTCGTCCCAGGCTTGCTCTGGCATGATCCGGTCCGGGGGCGTCCAAGAGGAGGGGGGATGATTAGGGCGTGGATGTCATGGTCGGGACCGTGATATCTCCCCAGATCTCATGGCCCTCCCTTTATTCTTTCAGTACGTTCCCTGGCTCCCCCCTGGTCCGCGCACATGCCTCGGACCCTGATCTGCGAACCCCCCTCTCAGGCCCCCCCCTGCTTGGCCGCCCCCGAGGTGCTATCCAGCCGAATGGTGGGCCTACAAAGATCTGATCGTTACCACAACGACCTCACGAGAGTTGGTGCCTCCCCACCTCGCGCCCAGACCTCCGACGCGGTTTTGTTCCCAACCAGCTTGTGGTGTTGGGTCGTCGTTTTGTAGAGAGAGCGACCCGCTGCGCCTCCATTTCGGCCACGCGCAGGGGGGTAGGGGGAGAGGGGAAGGCTTCTTGGAAGCACCCCTGCTTCTTAGAAGGCGCGGGCCCTCTCTATAGATCATCTATAGAGAAGGCTTCGCCTATCATCTCATGATCTGTAGATGATCTATAGAGAAGGCTTCGCCTATCGTGGGATGATCTGTAGATGAATATATATATATAGATATATACATCATATATAGATCATGTTAGGCTGGCGCCGTCTAAGAAGCAGCCTCGTTCTAAGAAGCCTTCCCACCTCCCCCTACCCCCCTTGCGTGCGCCGCCAACCATTCCTTTGATGAACAACTCCTCCCTGTCGCACCCCGAGGCCAGTCGGATGGGCGGGCCAGGCGTCTCGCCTGATACTTCCTTACCACTTCTGAGCTTGAGGCTTCAAAATTGGCAACGGGCTCACAAATGGAGGGCGGGCCGCTTCCAAAATGTGACTCTCGCCATAGCGCCGCGCACACTCGTTTTAAAACCTTGCAAGAGTTTCGCGGATTAGGGGCGGGGGGGGGGGGGGCAAAATGTGGTCATCGCCTTAGCGTCGCGCACATTCGTTTTAAACACTTGCAAGCGTTTCATGGATTGAGGGCGGATATTTTTCAACATGTGGGTCTCGCCTTAGCGCCGCACGAATTCGTTTTAGACATGTGCTAGAGCTTCACGGGAGGGCGGGTGGTTTTCAACATGTGGTTCTCGCTTTGGCGCCGCGCACAACCGTTTTAAACATGTGCCAGAGCTTCACGAACTGAAAGCTGGCACTTTTCAAAATGTGCTTCTCGCCGTAGTGCCGCGCACACCCGATTGAAAAATACAAGACTTTCATTGGTTTTTATAGTTACCGTACCAGAATTGGTGTTGTGAAACAGTCCAGGAATGCCAGGGCGCAACAGTTAGGTTGACTCTCGTTGTTGAAGTCCCGAGAACGGCGTTCTGGCAAGATTCAGGATCGTCAAGACGCAACAGTCAGGTTGACTCGTGGCGTTGCAGTCCTGAGAATGATGTTTTGGCACGCTTCAGGATTTTCACACGGTTGTCCCCCAACGGTGCGATTCCATAGGTGGCAATGAACCGTTGTAGGGTTTTATGTAGATGGAGTTTGGAGGGGGGGGTGTTCCAACATCGTTGATAAGTCTTGGGTTTGCATTGGTCTCTTCTCCTCCTCACCTTCCCCCCTCCTCCCATCCCGCGCCCTCCTCGTCCTCGCCCCCCGCACCATGTCGGCACGCCCCTCACACGCTTCGTGGCGCCGTACGGAGCTCCACCGAAGGCCCCGGTGGCACGGCTCGCATGCGTCCCCCCACACCATGCCGGCACACCCCTCACACGTTTCGGTGTTCCACGGGGAGCTCCACCGAAGGCCCCGGTGGCAGGGTCCGCGCCCCCCCCCCAGACACAATGTCGGCACACCACTCATACGCTGCGTGGCCCCATAGGGAGCTACACTGAAGACCCCAGCGGCAGGGTTCGCATGCGTTCCCCCCCGATTTGGTCATACGCCTCACACGTCCCGTGCCGCCACATGATCTTCAGGAGGCTTCAGTGGCAGGGTTCGCATGCGTCCCCCCGCAACATTTTGGCGCACCCCTCCACATGTTTCGTGGCTCCGTTGGGAGCCCTGGAGGGCCCCAGATGCAGGTATCGCACGCGTCCACCCAGACCATTTCGGTATACCCCTCACACGTTTCGTGGCTCCATGCGGAGCTCCACCGAAGGCCCCAGTGGCAGGTATCGCACGCGTCCCCCCCGCCCATTTCGGCGCACCCCTCACACGGTTCGTGGCCCCATAGGGAGCTCCGCCGAAGGCCCCAGTGGCAGGGTTCGCATGCATCCCCCCACACCATATCGGCATACCCCTCACACGCTTCGTTGTTCCATAGGGAGATCTTCGGAAAGCCCCAGGGGCAGGGTTCGCATGCGTCCGCCTATTCAATTATACACCTACACCGATCGTGACCATGCCGAAGGCCCCAGTGGCGGTGTTCGCATACGTCCCCACCCCTATCGATTTCGGCACACCCTTCACACGCTTCTTGGCTCCATAGGGAGCTCTACCGATGGCCCCAGTGGCAGTGTTTGCATGCGTCCTCCCCGCCCGTGTCGTCACAACCCTCACACGTGTCGTGGCCTCATAAGGGGGCTCCACCGAATGACCCAGTGGCAGTGTTCGTATGCGACCCCCCCCCGAACTTTTCGGCGCACCCTCGAACATTTTGTGGCCCCATAGGGGGCTCCACCGAAGGTCTCAGTGGCAGTGTTCACATGCGCCCCCCCCGTCCATTTCGGCGCACCCTTCGCACGCTCCCTGGTTGTATTGGGAGCTCCACCGAAGGCTCTGGCGGCGGTGTTCGCATGCGTCCCCCCCATGCGTACCCCCCCGCCCATTTCGGCGCACCCCTTGCACGCTTCGTGGCCTCGGAGGGAGCTCCACCGAAGGCCCCAGTGGCGGTGTTCGCATGCGTCCCCCCCTCCCATTTCGGCACACCCCTCACGCGCTTCGCAGACCCATAGGGAACTCCACCGAAGGTCCAGGCGGCGGTGGTTGCATGCGTCCCCCCCCCCCCCGCCCACTTCGGTACACCCGTCGCACGCTTCGCGGCCCCATGGGGAGCTCCACCGAAGGCGATGCTCACCACTGCGCCAGTCACAGCCGCATACGGTTGGGCCCTTGGGGGGACTAGACTCGATACGGAGCGGCCACTTCCCCACCTCGAGCGTCGCAGGCGCGGGTGGCGCGGAGCCCAGCTCGGCGGCGAAGTCCGAACCCTACGTCCCTCCTCGAAATCAGACGCGAGTTTTCCCGCGACGCTGCTGGGTCCCAAGGCCTCAAACTTTCGATATACTCGCGCCGCAAAACTGGCGACCGTAAGCGCAACACTCAGTCAGACACGGCGGGCCGCGTTCCGCGCGCCGATCCGCACGAAAGACTGACGTTTGATTTCGAGGAGGGTGGTATTCCCGCCTCCCCTCGATTCTAGGGCGACGAGATCTATGCATATCCACTGCTCCCTGGCCAGGCCCATCCTGAACCCAGGAGTTGTGCATACGCCCTCCTGGCCACGCCAGGAGGGCGCAGCGTATACACAGCTGCTGGGTTCAGGATGGGCCTCGCCAGGGAGCAGTGGATATGTATAGATCTCGTCGCCCGAGATTCAGGAGAATCAATGCTCTGCACGGGTCGGGCTCGGGCCTCGCCGAGTACCGTGGCCGCAGTCCGAACCCTGCCCCCGCGGCTCGGGCCTGCGGCGGGCCCGCGGCGAGAGCTCCGGGCCCTGCCCCCGCCTCCCCCCAGGAGAGGAAAAAACACGCAGACACAATCATTCTTCGATTCCCAAGAAAATATGGGAAACTATGGGAAGTGGGGGGGAAGGCCAAACCCAGAAAGTATGGGAATAAATCGTGAATCCTTTTATTTGTGCGTATGTATTCGTGTGCCTCAGGGCCCCTTTCATCCCCATGAAGCCAAGCGGATGGAGGTTCCGAAGGGGGGAGGGCCGCCTGCCCGCGGCCAGGGCCGCCTGGCCGCGCCGCGCCGCACGCCGCGGGGCTTGGCATCGCGCGGGGGGGGTGTGCATGTTTTTATTCTTCTCGGCGAGGAGCGTCGGGGAGCAGTCCTGCGAAACTGTTTTGATCCGCGGGTCGAGAGCGCACCTCCCCTCTTTGCGAAGCGGGCACGCGCGAGGTCGAAGAGTGCACGGGGGAGGGCCGTCCGCGCGACGGCGAGGGGGTCCGTCAGAGCGCCTCCAGCGGTCGTCATCGTCGTCGTCGTCGTCGTCGTCGTCGTCGTCTTCGTCGTCGTCGTCGTCGTCGTCGCCGCCGCCGCCGTCGTCGTCGTCGTCGTCTTCGTCGTCGTCGTCGTCGTCGTCGCCGCCGCCGCCGTCGTCGTCGTCGTCGTCTTCGTCCAGAGACCGCGCCTCCAGCGGTCGTCGTCGTCGTCTTCGTCGTCGTCGTCGGCGTCGGCGTCCAGAGACCACGCCTCCATCGGTCGTCGTCGTCGTCGTCGTCGTCGTCAGCGTCCAAAGACCGCGCCTCCAGCGGTGGTCGTCGTCGTCGTCGTCGTCGTCGTCGTCGTCGTCGTCGTCGTCGTCGTCCGGGCCCGGTGGGCGCGCCGCCCGCCGGCGGCCAGGCCTGGGCCCGTGGCGGTGCGCGGGCTGCGCGGTGCTGCTGCTGGCGGGCGCGCTGCGCGCCAGCAGCGGGGCGCGCGCGGCGCGCCGGGCGCGGGCGGTGGTGTGCCAGGACCGCGTCGTCGTCGTCTTACGTCGGGCCTGTCCCCCTATAGGGGGATTTTCTACGAAAAATTTAAAATACACCAAAAGTACCCCCAGAAGGTCGAAAAATACTCCAAAAATAGACCCCAGACTATTTTTGGAGTATTTTTCAATAATGTTTGGTGTATTTTTTTGTCCGTCGAAAATCCCCCTGTAGGGGTGAGCCAAGACCGCGTCGTTCGACTACACGTAAGAGTGACCCTTCGCCGGAGTTACCTTTTGGTGCGCGCTCACCGGGGTCCCCCGATCGCCGCGCTCGTTGCGATAGCAGCGTCTTGCGCGCTCGTGTGTTGGCCTCCTCGCGCCCCCCAAAAAGCCGCGCACCAACGGTCACTCTTGCCAAGGGTCACTCTTACGTGCAGCCGAGTCGTCGTCGTCGTCGTCCGAGGAATGAAGAACTAGTTGAGCGACGGAAGAGATCGGGTGCGGTCATAAGCCGCGTCGTCGTCGTCGCTGTTCGGGGAATACAGATCGAAGAAGAAGAAGAAACCACACAAACATAAACTTTGGCGCTCCGCGCGGATTTCTTGGATCCGCGCTTGGGCCCCTCGGCTGCGCCTCCAGCGCCGCCATTGGCGCGCTCCGTGCGCCAGGGAGGGGGGTGTGGCGCGGATCCAAGAAATCCGCGCGGAGCGCCGAAAGTTCATGTTTATGTGGTTATTAAAAAAAGCTTATTAAGCGACGGAAGAGATCGGGTGTGGCCATAAACCGCGTCGGTTTCAAGGCAAGCGCGTCAGAAGCCACCACGCCCTGACCTTTGGAGGCACGTTCTGGTCACCAGGGCCATAAAAGGAAACGGACACCGCGACGAAAGAGCGGCCCTCGGGATGGAGGGGGAGCTCCGGGGCCGTGGAACATCACACCTGCACTGGTTTTTACGAGTCGGGTTTCGGACAAGTACACATCACCTTTGTCTTCTGCGAGTTGCAGCTTGCGTGTCTCGCTGCGCTCATTTGTCCGCAAGTCGCGCGGCGGGGAATTGGTCGTCCTGAGGGGCAGCGGATTTCTCGCTCTGCCTTCCCTGCTTGTCTTCGCGTGGAAAATGTACAAGCCACCCCCGATGAAGACAAACTGGGGCCGAAGATCTGTGGGCCGTCGTCGTCGTGAAGAGGTAAGATTCGGTCGAAAGATCCGTGGGCCGTCGTCGTCGTCGTCGTCGTCGTCGATCTGTGGTCGGAAGATATGTGGGTCGTCGTCGTCGTCGAACAATAGGGTCGAAGGATCTGTGGGCCGTCGTCGTGAAGAGGCAAGTCACCACGCTTCGAGGGCTGGGGCGGCAGGGCCCCCACCTCGGTCCGACTCGGTGCGGCCGGGTCGTGCCATTTCGACGCCGCCGCGACCCCAGCGCGGGCGCTTGAGGCTGAACGCCGGCAGCGGCCCAGAATCGGGCCAACATCAGGTCAGCACGAACGAAATGGGTACCGAAATAATGGGTACAATGCCCAACTGCAGTTCCTGTTCATGTTGAACAGGACTCGCTGTCCACGCCGCCGCGGCCTGTGTCCATTCGAGACAGAAGGCCGCCTGCCCAACAGCGGCCGCTGTTGGTTTGGGACAACATTTGTTGTTGGGCATTGTACCCATTTTTTCCGTACCCAAATCGGGCGTCCAAATCGGGGGTTGCTAAAGGTGCCCCTGGCCCAAGGTGCCCCCCAGCTTCTCACCCAATCTTGTAGCCCCTGGGGCCCTCTGGACCTCGTGAGGGTTGCTCTGGAGGCCGTGGGGGGGGCCTCTTTGAAAGTCCCGGGGGCACCTCGGGCCAGGGGCACCTCCAGCAGCACCCAACAGCATAGAGCGATCTGGCGATCGGAGGACCGCCGATGGTTCTAGGTCGAACGACCCACACGGTGTCAGAAGCCAACGCCGGGGTCGTCAAGGCACGAGCTTGCCGCGTCGACGATGGCCAGTTCGATCCTGTTCGTTTCCGAGCTCGCGGCGATCCGATGCGGCCTGGTGTCTGCACAACGGCTGGCGCGGCCGACCCGACCCAGTCCTGGCTCCGTACCGATGCGGCCCGATGCGGCGCACAGTCCGCTCCAGTCCAGCTTCCCGGTTCGATGTTCACTGTCCGAGGGGAAAAACAGTGCCATGAGCACAGAAATTCCGAGGTCCGCGCGGATTTCCCGGATCGACGCCAGGGCCCCCTCCTTGGCGCGCGGAACGCGCCAGGAGGAGCGGCGCCGGAGGCGCCGCCAGGGAGACCCAGCGCCGATCCGAGAAATCCGCGCGGACCTTTGAGTTTTTCCCGACCATCTTGTCGTGCTTGAGGAGACAGTGCCCCGCGTCACTCACTCCTCCTTCCTCCTCCCCCTCCTCCCTCCCTCCCCACGCTGCCTCCATTTTGGCGCTCCCCTCACACGTCTCGTGGCCCCACAGGGTGCTCCACCGAAGGCCCCAGTGGCAGGGTCTGCATGCAGTTGCCCTCCCATTTCGGCGCGCCCCTTGAAAGTTTCGTGGCCCCACAGGGTGCTCCGCCGAAGGCCCCAGTGGCAGGGTCCACATGCAGTTCCACCTCCATTTCGGCGCACCTCTCACACGTTTCGTCGCCACATAGGGTGCTTCACCGAAGGCCCCAGTGGCAGGGTCCACATGCAGTTCCACCTCCATTTCGGCGCACTTCTCACACGTGTCGTCGCCCCATAGGGTGCTTCACCGAAGGCCCCAGTGGCAGGGTCCGCAAGCAGTTGCACCCCTTTTTCGGCGCACATCTCGTACGCTTCGTGGCTCCATAGGGTGCTCCGCCGAAGGCCCCAGTGGCAGGTCCGCATGCAGTTCCATCTCCATTTCGGCGCACCCCTCACGCGTTTCGTGACCCCGTGGTGAACTTCACCGAAGGCCCCAGTGGCAGGGTCCGCATGCAGTTCCACCCCCATTTCGGCGCACCCCTCACACTTTTCGTGGCCCCATAGGGTGCTCCACCGAAGGCCCCAGTGGCAGGGTCCGCATGCAGTTCCACCCCCATTTCGGCGCACCCCTTGAAAGTTTCGTGGCCCCACAGGGTGCTCCACCGAAGGCCCCAGTGGCAGGGTCCGCATGCAGTTCCACCTCCATTTCGGCGCACCCCTCACACGTTTCGTGACCCCATCGTGAATTTCACCGAAGGCCCGCATGAGTTCCACCCCTATCTCGGCGCCCCCCTCACACGTTCGTGGCCATAGTCTGGTCCACCGAAGGCCCCACAGGGTCCGCATGCAGTTCCACGTCACACGTTTCGTGACCCCATCGTGAATTTCACCGAAGGCCCGCATGAGTTCCACCCCTATCTCGGCGCCCCCCTCACACGTCTCGTGGCCATAGTCTGGTCCACCGAAGGCCCCAGTGGCAGGGTCCGCATGCAGTTCCACCTCCATTTCGGCGCACCCCTCACACGTTTCGTGACCCCATCGTGAATTTCACCGAAGGCCCGCATGAGTTCCACCCCCATCTCGGCGCCCCCCTCACACGTCTCGTGGCCATAGTCTGGTCCGCCGAAGGCCCCAGTGGCAGGGTCCACATGCAGTTCCACCTCCATTTCGGCGCACTCCTCACACTTTTCGTGGCCCCATAGGGTGCTCCACCGAAGGCCCAAGTGGCAGCGCCCGCACACGATTCAACCCTGTATCTCGGCGCACCCCTCTCATGGTTCGCGGCCTCACATTGGGCTCTACCGACGGCTCTGGTGGCAGCGCCCGCATGGCGTACCCGTACCAATTTTGGCACGCCCGTCACACACGTCGTGGCGCCACTCACAATTGTGCACATGGTTGGGTCCTTCGCCAGGGTAAGTATGTTTATGCCATTGCTTGTTCCCCTAATTATGTTCCTGTGCAGGTCCAGGCCTCCCGAGTGGGACCAGGCTTGTCGGAGGATCGATGCGGCGCGATGTGGAGCCCAACTTCCTCCGTCCTGACGCCGTCGGTGTATCAGCGATGCATTGACGATGCGGTGCGAGCATCCTCCGATGCCCATGCTGCGCTGGCCCTGCTTGGGAGGCCTCCGGCAGGTGAGCGCCCCTCTGGCCACGGTCGAGTGCGCCGGGCCCGTGCGGCTGGCCGCCGCTGACGCCCTGGGCGCCGCAGGACTGCGAGTGGAGCGGGAGGGTCAGTCGGGGGGCAGCGCGGGGGGGCACGGTCAAGACGCTGAAGTGTGGAGCAGTTCGGGCTTGGAAGGGGCTCGATGTTCCTTACAGTTGGGGCCCATGCCAAGAAACACCCTGGTCGCCTCCAGGGTGCTCTGGGTTTCCTGGGTTTCGATGGTCTTGTCATGGAAGGCGTGACGTGCCCACACCAAAAATCCATGGACGCCCTGGGGTCTCAGGGTTGTGTTTCCTATGGAAGGTTTCTTGTGGTCGGGCCCCCACTGTAATGGTCCTTCCATGGCTGTTCCTCCAGCCCTCCTCGTGAGCGAGGGCGGTTTGGTGGCCCGAAAGGGGCTGCGCTCCCAAGAGGGGGACAGGCTCGGGCTCGAGGGAGAGCGGGAGTCAGTCGGTCTTGCGGGGGTCGAGAACCAGGGGCGACGGTTGGATGGGATAGTCTCCGGGGGCGGGGGGGGGCGAGGTGTTCGAGGTCAGAGGTTTTCTGGCGTATGCGTCCGTTCCTGGCGATTTTTCCCGCCCCGCGCTGCGTCCCAGCAGTTGCGCGTCGCCGAAAGCGTCCCCCGTGGCTGCCCAGATCGTCCCGAGCGGCCGCCGGGGAGCCGAGTTATGACCCGAGGCGGGGCTCGAGAGACGGGGGTCGATGCAAACGGGGGTCAGCCAGGGCATCGGATCCTGCAGGATCCTGCGAAGACCCCCTCTATCTAGGCCTCCTCGATGGGGTCGGAGTAGATGGGGTCGGAGGATCGCTCCGCACTGCCGATGCATCGGCGATGCGTCTGGATGAGGAGCCCGAGTTGCTTCACGTCGACGTCGGCGATGCATCGGGGACGTCGCCGATGCATCGCCGATGCATCGCCGATACATCGCCGATGCATCGTCGATGTATCGGCGATGCAGCGCGATCCTCCGACCCCATCTACTCCGACCCCATCTAGGAGGCCTCTACTCTGGCTGACCCGGGTTAGCGAGCCGCGAGGCGGACGCGCATATTGGCTGACCCAGGTTTTCGAGGACCTGCGTTGCAGTTTTTGTTGTCCCTGCCTTGCAGTTTTTGGGTTTCCTGCTGGCCCGGGTCTGGATTGACCCGGGTCGGCAGATCCCCGACCGAGAACCAGGGAGCAACGCCAGGACGGGATAATAGGCTCAGGTGAGGGGGTGCATCGACCCTCGATCGCCCAATCATCGCCAGCAGGGGCCCGATAGCCCGCCCCGCCCAGGACCTTGTGGCTTCGGTACCAGTGGCCTGTCGCCGATCTGTCGGCGAGGTATCGCCTAGTGCAGGTCTGTAGCTTCCCCCCCCCTGAGCCAGTCTGCTTGGGCCTCCCAAGATCGCTGCCATCCACAGAGGTTCAGCGGCAGCGTGATCGACACCTGGCAAGCAGTGGCGAGGCGTCCTGGCTTGCCTACAGGTCCACCAAAGAATGTTCTAAGAACCGTTTGTGGTTTGAACGAAATGTTGTAATAATATGTCTTGGTGGGTCTGTCTTATTTAAATACGTCGGCTCTATATTCTAAAGTTCTAAATGCAGTGTTGTCGTTCTTGCAAAAGTGGTGGGTTCTAAGAACATTCCGTGGTAGGCCTCTAGGAATGCCGGGACGGTCAGTGCCTGCTCAAAGTCAGCGGCAGCGTGATCGGCACCCGGCAAGCCGGCCTTTTGACCGTGGCGAGTGAGTCGCCTGGCTCCCGAGGGGCCCGAGGCGCGGGCAGGCGGCCAGAGGGAGCCTCGAGGGGCCGTCACGGAAGGGGCTTGTCATGGAAGGGGTCAATTCGGCCGCGCCCGAAAGAGGAGGAGAGGAGGAGGAGGAGGAGGAAGAAGAGGAGGAGGAGGAGGAGGAGGAGGAGGAGGAGGAGCAGCAGATGGGCGTCAAGCGGGAGGAGGAGGAGGAGGAGGAGGAGGAGGAAGAGGAGGGTCGAGGAGGAACGGGAGGAGGAGGAGGAGAGAGTAGAAGGAGAGAGTCGAGGGAGAAGGATGAGGAGAAGAGGTAGGGGGTAGGCGTAGAGGAGGAGGAGTGGGAGAGAGGGAGAGCAGGAGGAGGAGGAGGAGGAGGAGGAGGAGCAGGCACCCAGCGGGACTCCTCGAGGGCGAGGGGGGCTCGTGTCGGAACGGGGCGCTCGTGTCGGAAGGGGGGGCCCACAAGGGAGCCCCACCGACATCGGAAGTCACGACGCGGCATTGGCAGTTGCATACACCTTAGGCGATGCTTAAGAAAACCCAAGTTTTCGGCCAGAGTCTCGATTATTCTTAACGTTTCAATGTAAATTTTCGGCCAGAGTCTCGATTATTCTTAACGTTTCAATGTAAATCCTAAGATTTTAATTTAAAAAAATGTTGGGTTGTTATTCAAGTTCTGAGACTATGAATTTCTGAACCCATGATTTCTTAAGCATTTCGCAGGGTGTATGTTTGGTTCTTTCGTCCAGGTAGTGTGTTTCTTTTCCGTAAGTACTTCGCCCCCATGCCGCCGCAGAATGGGACTCGCCAGAGCTGTGTTGGGATGTCTGGACGCTGACGTGAAGCAATGTCGGGACTTCACGCGAGTGCCAATAGTAATTTACGAGGGTTTGTGGCTTCGGTGGCGCGAACATTATATACTTTACTATGGTGTATGGCTCCGGGGAGGCGAACATTGCATAATTTGCAAGGGTGTGTGGCCTCGGGGACGCACATACGATGTAATTCACAAAGGTTTAGCCTCGGGGGCGCAAATATTGCATAGTTTACAATGGTTTATGGCCTATGGGACGCGAATATTGTATAATTTGTAAGGGCTTGTGGCCTCGGGGACGCAAGCATTGTGTAATGTACGACGGTTTACGGCCTTGGGGACGCGAATATTCAGTAATGTTCGAAGGTTTATGGTTTCGGGGGCGCGAATATTGTATATTTACACGGTTTGTGGCTTCGGGGGCGCGAACATCGCGGAATTGACCATGGTTTATGGCCTCGGGGACGCACATATCGTGTAGTTTACAAGGGATTCTGGTTTCGGGGACGCGAATATTGTAAGTTACAAGGGCTTGCGGCCTCGGGGACGCAAATATTATATAATTTGCATATACGACCACCCTTCGGGTGATAAGGAGGTTGTGGAAGGGGGGGAGGGGGGGAACCAACATCTGACTCAATCGATCTCACTATCGATCTCACTCAACGGGACACCACGGGACACTTGTCGATTTCACTATCGATCTCATTCAACGGGACACCACGGGACAACGCGGGACATTTCTCCATCTCATTATCGGTCTCACTATCGATCTCGCTCTACGGGGCCCCATAAAACACAACGGGACACCTCGGAACACATCGTATTATCGATCTCACTATTGATCTCACTCAACGGGACACCACGGGACACTTGTCGATCTCACTATCGATCTCACTTTTTGGGACACCTCGGGGCACCACATCGATCTCACTATCGATCTCACTCAGCGGGACACCACGGGACACCACGGGACACCGCGAGCCACCGCGAGCCACCGCCGGACGGACGGACGGACGGACGGGCGGGGGAGAATCATTTGTCTTGACTTCGCCCTAGCAACGGCGGACACCACGGGACACCACGGGACACCGCGGGACACCGCGAGCCACCGCCGGACGGACGAACGGACGGGCGGGCGGGGGAGAATCATTTGTCTTGGTTTCGCCCTGGCAACGGCGGATACCACGGGACACCACGGGACACCACGGGACACCGCGAGCCACCGCGAGCCACCGCCGGACGGACGGACGGACGGACGGGCGGGCGGGGGAGAATCATTTGTCTTGACTTCGCCCTAGCAACGGCGGACACCACGGGACACCACGGGACACCGCGGGACACCGCGAGCCACCGCCGGACGGGCGGGCGGGCGGGGGAGAATCACTTGTTTCGACTTCGCCCCAGCAGCGGCGGGCTCATTCCTCTCGCGCGCCCACGCAGCTTTGCCTCGCCCGCACGCACGGCACGAACGAAATGAAACTGTAATTTACATGGGTGTATGGCCTCGGGGACGCGAATATTGTATAATTTGCAAGGGGCCTCGGGGACGCAAGCACGGTGTAATGTAGGACGGTTTACGGCCTCGGGGACGCGAGTATTCAGTCAGTTTCGAAGGTCTATGGTTTCGGGGACGCGAATATTGTGTAATGTGCGAGGGTTTCTGGCCCTATAATTTACAATGGTTTATGGCCTCGGGGACTCGAATATGGCATAGTTTACTAGGGATTCTGGGACGCGAATATCACGCATGTTTATGTGTCCCACGCCCACCCCTGGAATCCAGGCAACGCGATTTGGGTGTGGTAAAAAGCTGGTTTGGGGTCCTCTTCCTCCTCCTCCTCCTCCTCCTCCTCCTCCTCTTCCTCCTCCTTATCCCTATCACTACGTGATGGCGGAGTCCCTGGAATCCTCCTCCTCCTCCCCCTGCCCTCTGCGCACAGCGCGGTGTTTCACCCCACTCCGCACCCAGAAGAGATGTTGCACGCTGCGCCGCTCAGTGTGTCAGCCCGGCGCCCTGCCCGGGAGATGGACCCGCCCGCGCCGCCCCTCGGCGGCCACAATGCGGCGTGGTTGCGCCAGGGTGTGGTTCGCCATCTGCGCCGTTGGGGCCTGGGGGGGGGGCATCAAGCTGCGCCAGAGGCTCAATGGCTTCTAATCGGGGCGCGGAGGAGAAGCACAACGATTTTTCTCGAGGCCCTCGCCTGCCCCCCCAAGGGCCCAGGCTGCAGGCCGCACCCTCTGCAGAGCGCACCCTCCAGAGTCGCCGAGCCTCCCTATTTCGGGCCGAGCAGGGGCCGTGCATGGGGCTGTGCAGGGGGGGGGGATGCAGGAGGAGGAGGAGGAGGACGAGGAGGAGGAGGAGGAGAAGGAGGAGGAGGAGGAGGAGGAGGAGGGGCAGGAGGAGGGGGGGGCTGTGCAGGGGAGGGTGGGGGGACCGTGCAGAGGCTGTGCATGGGGCTGTGCAGAGGCTGCGCAGTGGGCTGTGTGCATGGGGGCTGTGACTGGGGCCGCCGCCCTGTCCTGCCCCTCCTCCTCCTCCTCCTCCTCCGCCTCCTCCTCTCTCTCTCCTCCTCCTCCTCCTCCTCCTCCCCTCCTCCTCCTCCTCCTCCTCCCTCCTCCTCCTCCTCCTCCTCAGGCTGCGACTGCTGCGCTGGCAGGGACTGCTGCGCCCGGGGCGCCTGCGCGGGCTGCGCCTGCTGCGCGGCGCCCGCCGCCGCGCCGGGCCCCGCATGCTGCGGCACCGCGCCGTGCGACTTCGGCGAGGGCTTCCCGAAGCTGAAGGCGGGGGGAGCCTGGCGCACTGTCGGAGCTCGAGGGGCCAGGATCGAGGGTCGAGGAGGAGAGTCGAGGAGGAGGAGCAGGAGCAGGAGCAGGAGCAGGAGGAGCAGGAGGAACAGGATTGCGGAGGAGGAGGATCGAGGAGGATGGAGGAGGAGGGTCGAGGAGGATGGAGGAGGAGGAGGAGGCGAAGGAGAATCTCGGTGACGAGGAGGATCGAGGAGGAGGAGGAGGACCGAGGATCGAGGAGGAGGAGGAGGAGGAGGGTCGAGGAGGATCGAGGGGCAGGATCGCGAAATTCGAAGAATGAAAAGTTGCATAAACAAGAATTGTCGGAGGTCGGCGCGGATTTCTTGGATCGGTGCGTGTTCCAACCCTTGCGGTGCACTCTTTCTTAGCGCTTTGCGAGCCAGGGAAGGGGGTCCAGCGTTGGTCCAAGAGATCCTCCCGGACCTCGGATTATGGTCTTGCAGTTTGCATTTCTCCAAAACGCGCCCCCAGGGATAGATGGGTCCAGCGGTCGAGTTGCAGTCTCTGGACCCAGACGACGTTTCGCGGATGGACGTCTCGTCGGGCGCATTCGCGCGGTGCACGCGCCAGATTTCATTGGGTTGCAATTTCTGGGACGCGAAATTCAGCATCGGCGTTGGTACATCCGTGGTCGAAAACGGCTTCAATCCAGCATGATCCCGCCTCATCCCGCTCAAGTTGGCGAAATCTTGAGTTGAATCTGGGCGAATCCAGCTCCGTAACACCTCAATCCCGCTTAACAGTCCTTACCCGGCGGTCGCTGAAAGTAGGTGATTATTGTTTACGCCTCGTGAATCCCCACCAGCCCTGGTCAGTGAGTTCTTCCTGGCCCTGCTGGTGTCTGCGGTCCTTCGTGATGTTGCTTCTGGCTTCATCCTGGTATCGCTCCCGCGCCATTTTGGCTGCGCCCCAACCTCGGTTGGCTAATTTGCATGCGCTCGCTCCTGGACCTGTTTCCTGGCAGCTGCAGCCCGCACCACCTCCCGCTCCCGGTCCGCTGAGGTGCCGCTCAGGCCTCTGGTTGCCGGCGCGTTAGGCAATTAGGTTCGCGCGTGGCCCGCCCGTCCCGTTTGACGCCGCCTGCGCTTTCGCTTGCGGCTGCGGCAAACAAGAATCCCCACCAGCCCAGTCAGAAGCCTTGCCCATGAGAGCTGACGGGAAAAGGGACGAATCACACATCTAGCGAAACAAAGCGAGCAACCAAGCGAGCAACCAGGGTGAACAGAGAGATCTCTGGGTCTCGGAGTTCTCTTGGAGCTCTTTGAGGGGGTCTCGGGGCGCTCTTGGGGCCCTCTTGGGGCCGTCTTGGAGCTCTCTTGGGGCTCTCTTGGGGGCGTTTGGGGAGCCCTGGAGGTTCTCTTGGGGCTGTCGTGGAGGGTGTCGGTGAAAAGAGGGAGGTGCTAACGTTTAGTCCCCCCTTTCTGGGCCATCGAACCAGCCTCTTGGGGCGCTCTTGGGGCATTCTTGGAGCGCACTTGTAGCAGTCTCGGGGGGCCATCTTGAGGTCTCAAAGCGCACCGGAAGCGAAAAGGCGAGATGGCAGACATCATTGTTTCCTTTGGCTTTTGAATGATTTTGGCTTCTCGGGGAGGTCCTGAGGGGTCGACAAAAGCACTTGGATCCGTCTTTTGGTCTTCTTGGGGCCTCTTGGAGACATGTTGTTAGCGATATTGAGCCATGTTGGGTGTTGGGCTATCTTGAGCGACCTTGGAGGTCGTCTTGGGCTCTCTGAGGCCCTCTTGGAACCATCTGAGGGTTATCTTGGACGCCCTGACCGTTCGCGAAACCCCCCGTCCAGGTCGAGCGGGGGGGGGGGGGAGGGGGAGGGGGAGGGGTCAAGCTTCCCACCCGCCCGCAAGCCGTCTTGCTCACTCCCACCCGCCCTCCCAACACACACGTAACACCCGGGAGTCAGCATATCGCGCAAGAACGCCGCAGACGCCACGGGTTCCAGATGCCCCAGACCTTGGAGGCCCAAGCGTGCCAGGCACGCCAGGTGCGGCACGTGCTCCACGTGCGCCCAGTGTCTCACGTGCTCCGGCCGCGCCAGGTGCGCCAGCCACGGGGAACCAAAAGGGGCTTTTGGGCCCGGCGGCTTCGAGCGTTCTTCGCCAATGTTGGAGCCAGGTGGAGGTCTCGGAGTCCCATCGGAAACGGTAAGGTCTCAGGCAGCAGCCCTTTGGTGTGTTAAAGCAGTCGGTCGACGACATGCGCGCAGGAGGCAGGTGGATCTGCTGGCACCCCAGCAGTCCTTCTAAAGTACACTATACAAAATAGTCGCCGAGGGACCGCGCATGCCTCAAATGTGGAGGCAGAGTGCGTCTTGTATTTTTTTTGACAGGGATGGGGGGGGCGGGCCTCATGGGGTTGGCATGGTTCCGGGTTGGCCGCCAGCCGGGTGTGGGAGGGGGTGTATACTAATAGGGAACAGTGTAACCCCCTCCCCGATGGGGAAGGCAGGTGGGATTTGCTGGCACCCCAGCAGTCCTTCTAAAATACCCATGGAAAATAGTCGCCGCGGGACCCCGCATGCTCCAATTGTGGAGGCAGAGTGCATCTTGTATTGTTTTTTTGACAGGGATGGGGGGGGGCCTCATGGGGTTGGCATGGTTCCAGGTTGGCCGCCGGCCGGGTGGGGGAGGGGGTGTATATTAATAGGGAGCAGTGTAACCCCCTCCCCGAAGGAGAAGAAGGGGTTGTGGAAGAGTACAGAAAGACATCGTCAGACCACTTGTCGCCCAGAGAACTGGTGGGATCTCTGGATCCCCAGATCCCAATCTGTTTCAAGCGCCTTGCTTCTTCAAGAATCGATATGTTCTTGCTGCGTTTTGTTACTCTGGGCGGGCCTGGACCCGATCTACTTGATCCGCCGTCCTGCTATATACATCTACCTACTTCTTCCGACCAGCGTGTGTCCGTTTTTGCATCGCGCTCCCAGGGGTTGCCCCTTCTTGTGAAGCGATGGGCGGCAGCAGCAGCACCAGCAGCAGCACCAGCAGCAGCAGCACCAGCAGCAGCAGCAGCAGCAGCAGCAGCAGGAGGCTTCACCCTCTCCCCCCCGCCGCCAGTTCAGCGCCGTGCGCTGCGAGCGGCTCCCGGGCGCCCCCGCGACGCCCGCCAGCGCCGCCGACGCCGAGGCCGCCTGCGACGCCTCCCCGGGGGCGGGGGGATCGGGCACGGGACTGGGACGAGGATAACCCGACCTCCTGAGGAGGAGGATGTGCGAGGGGGGAGGAGGAGGACGAGGAGGGGTGGAGAGGGGCGAGGAAGGGAAGACGAGGTGCGCCACGCCGAGAGCCTGCCCTCCGCACCGTGCTCACGCCATGGCGCCCTTGGTGCCCGCCTGCGGCGCCCCCGCCAGCGCACACTTTCGCAGGTCCGAGTCCGAGTCTCGGGCCCGACGAGAGGGGGGGATTGGGAAAGGGGGGGTACGAAATCTGCTGCATGCAGCTGGTTTCGGCCTGACCGAGGGGCCCATCCCTCGATACATGGCCGCCTCCGGCGCCGGGAGGCGCCGGGAAAACCAGCTACGTGAGTCTCAACCCCCCCCTTTGCTATCCTCCCCTTTCGCCCGACCCGAGAGTCGCAGGATCACCTTTGGCACCCTCTGGCAGATGCCTTGCAGCACCTGTCCTCAGCATCGTCTGACCGACCCCCATCCCCACTTGGCCGTGTTGCCTCGGCCCCACCAGCCCACCCCCCGCGGGGAAAGGCCCCGCGAAGCCCAAACACATCCCCACTTAGAGGGGGTATGTCGTCGGACGGAGCTGGGACGAGGATAAATCCGTTCCAGAGTGTTCCGGAACGCTCTCAGAGAGCGTTCCGGAACGCTCCGAGAAGGCTGCAGCGCCCAAGACATCCTCCAGAGCCGCCGTATCGCAGAAATTCTCCATTTATCCTCACCCGATGTGTTCCTCGCGCCGGCTTCGCCTTAGAGGAGGAAGGGATGAGGAGGGAGGATCTCTCGAGGTTCGAGATGCCCGTCGAGCGGCGAGGGAGTGTGCACGGAACTGCACAGATCCTGGCCGGGCCCCGCGCGTGGCCGAGGCTCGGCTTCAGATGCCTCTCTGCTCGAGCCGGCAGGGCGCGCGCACCGGCCTCGGGTGCCCAGGAGTGCCCAGGCCCACAGGACGCCCCAAGAACGCTCCAAGCAGCCTCCTCCTCCTCCTCCTCCTCCTCCTCCTCCTCCTCCTCCTCCTCCTCCTCCTCCTCCCAGATGCTTCAGAGCTGGCTTCACGAGGCGCCCGAGAGGCGTGCCAAGAGACCCCAAACGGGTATACGTATCCAAGAACCCCCCCGACACACAGCCAGGGTCGGTGCATGATATACAGACTTCTCTCTCCCCCTCTGCCCACGAGACCCAGGCGTTGCAGTCTGTCTCATACTGGGCGTTTTCGCCCGCAGGGCCTGGGACCATCACGGATCGATATCTGGCCCGAGAAGCGCAGCAGGACGAGAGTGAAAAGCCTAGCGTCCGGGTCGCGAGTCACCGCGACGAGGCCACTTATCTCAAGACGTCGGCCTGGCATCGCTCCAACGTGTGCTTTCTTTCCTCGGCGAGGACCCTGGAGGAGCATCCTGGACCATCGAGCAACAAAAAACAGGAGCGAAACCGAAAAACGCACGGGAAATGGACGTCCGAGCGACGGCAAGTCGGATCTCATGGCCTCCTGGCGTGCTCGGTGCCTCTCCGCGGTACTCTCCAGCCCCCTGGGGGGCGGGGGCCTCCCTCGAGCAGCCGCGCTCCGCCGCGAGGCGCCCTGCAAGCGGAGGAGGAGGAAGAGGAGGAGGAGGAGGAGGAGGAGGAGGAGGAGGAGGAGGAGGAGGAGAGGAGGGGGAGGAGGCGGAGGAGGAGGAGGAGGAGGAGGAGGAGGAGGAGGGGGAGGGGGAGGGGGGAGGGGGGGGGGGGAGGAGGGGAGGAGGAGGAGCAGGAGCAGGAGGAGCAGGAGGAGGAGGAGGAGGAGGAGGAGGACCGCCGGAGAGCCGAGAGCCACGACCCGAAAGCCAGACGCCCAGCGCGTGGCGCCAGCTCGAGGCGGCCGGGTCTGTCTCCCCGCCAGTGAGAACTCGTGGCCTTCCTTCGAAGAAGAGAAGCACGCAGACATAAACTTGTGGCGCTCCGCGTGGATTTCTTGGATCCGCGCCCGGGCCCCCCGGCGGCGCCTCCGGCGCCGCCCCTGGCGCGCTCCGCGCGCCAGGGAGGGGGGTCCAGCGCGAATCCAAGAATTCCGCGCGGAGCGCATATGTTTATTTGTTGTTTTTCTTCTTCTACTCATGTGGGCACGGGTGCAAGAGACGTGCGGGGGACAAGTATGCGAGCACCGCTGAATGCTGACGAAGATACAGAAGTTCGCCACCCACCGAACCACCCCAACCCTACCCCGAAGGCCCCGATCTGCCCTCCATTCCCAGTGTGGGGGGGGGGGCATCGGGGAACATGGAACAAGCACATAGAACCCGTAGCCCCCCCCCAACCAGGAATTTGGGCCTTCGGGGTTGGATTGGGGTGGTTGGTGGGGTGGTCTTCTGGTTGACCCAAAAGGGGGTACAGCTACAAGGAGGTTGTGCAATAGATCCGGTGCGATGGATTTGTGCGTCGCAGCAGAGCTGGTGCGTGCAGCACACTCCGGGGCGCGAATGTATTGCTGGATATTTTCGCGCGCGATGCATTCGACGCAAATGCAATACAACTCTCGGGCGCCATGCATCTGAAATACAGTCAAAAGCCCAAATAAGGACGCGCGACTTTGCTCAGGGTACCCTTACGTCCTTGCTCTTCCTTGCTCTTGCGTCCTTGAGGTTTTCGTCGTCCGCCGCCCCAACAACCCCAACTTCGGCTTCCGAGGGTCTTGCGTCCTTGCCGCGCGTCCTTATTAGGGTTTTTGATTGTACAATCGTCCCAAATCTTAGGGAAAGGAACAGTGGCATAAACATAAAAACTCGGAGGTCCGCGCGGATTTCTTGGATCCGCGCTGGACCCCCCCCTCCCTGGCGCGCGGAGCGCGCCAGGGGCGGCGCCTCCGGCGCCGCCCAGGGGCCCCAGCGCCGATGCGAGAAATCCGCGCGGACCTCCGAGCTTATACGCTTATGCCACTTCTCGTTCCCCTAAATCTTTTGCACCAGTAGGGGGCCACATGCGAACCCTACCCCACCCTCCCCCTCAGAAATCGTGGAGGGTTCGCATGTGGCCCCCTAACCAGCACCTCCCGGCCGGAGCCCCTCGTGGGCCTTCCGAAGAGATCTGCCGGGTGGCCAGAGGCCCCCCTTGCTCGGCCCGTGGAGGCCAGCCTCGGGCCGCCGCCCGGCGCCCCCGCTCGCCCCCCCGCCCTCTGCGCCCGCACACACACACACACACACACAACACACAACACACAACAAACACACACACACACACAACACAACACACACAACACACAATACACAACACACACAACACACACACACACACACAACACACAACACACACATACAACACACACAACACACAACACAACACACAACACAACACACAACACACACACAACACACACACAATACACACAACACACACATACACACAGACACACATCACACACACACACAGACAACACAACACACACAATATACACACACAACAAATACACACACACACACAACACACACACACGCACACACGCGCGTCTCCGCGCGTGCCGCAGCTCCTCCGCCTCCTCCCCCGCCGCCGCCTCCCCTCGGTCACGCGTGGAGGGGGGCAGGGGGGAGGGGGGAAGGCTTCTGAGAAGCACCCCTGCTTCTCGGGAACGCGCGGCCTTGCCTGCAGATGAAGGGCCGGCGCCTTCTGAGGAGCGGCCTCCTTCTAACAAGTCTCCCCCCCTCCCCCATACCCCCTTGTGCGCGCCGCCAATGAAGGGCTGGTGGGTTTGTGTGTCCCTGTCGGCGGCGAGCGAGGGGGGAAGTGGGAAGGAGGAGGCCATCTCAGAGGGCGGCGGGACGTCTCAGAAGCCCTGGCGCTTTCTGAAAAGCTCTTTCTGCGTCCTCCCGGAAGGCGCCGAAGACTCCTCAGGAGGCCCGGGGGCTTCCGAGCCCTCTGGGAAGGCCTCCTCCTTCTCGCTTCCCCCTTCTGGGGCTCGCCGCCGAAACCGAGCGGCGGGGGGGGGGCACCCCCCCGCGCGCGCGCGCCGCCCGCGCAGAGGCGCACCGCGGCGCGGCGGCGCGGGCGCCCGCGCCGCGCTCGGGGCGGCGCGCGCCGCGCAGGCCGCGCGCGCCTCGCGGGGCACGGCCGCGCCAGGAGGGCCAGACGGCCGGCGGCAGGCCTCGGCGGCCCTCTGCAGCAGTCGCCCTCGGCGCGGCCCTCGGCGCGCCGCCCTCGGGCAGCGGCCCTCGGGCGGTCCGCGGGCGGCCCTCGGCGGTGTGGCGCGCGGGGCCCTCGGGCTGGTGCCGAGGGGGGACGGCAGTGCAGCGACGGAGCGGGTGGGGCCTCCGCGCCCGCCCCTCCGCCAGCGGCGCCCCGCGCAGCAGGCGCGGCGCCGCGCCCGGCGGCCCCGGGGCAGGCCCGTCTCCTCGAGCTCGGGCGAGGGCGGCCAGGGTTCGGCGGCCAGTGGTGACGGGGGCCTCTCCTCCCCCTCGTCTGTCGGCTACGCGTAAGAGTGACCTTCCGCTGGAGTGACCTCTGGTGCGGGCACACCCGGGCCCCCAGATGGCTGAACGCGACGCGGCAGCAGCGGCTTGCGCGCCTCCTCCTCCTCCTCCTCCACTCTCTCCTCCTCCTCCTCCTCCCCCTCCTCCCTTCTCCTTCCTCTACTCCTCCTCCCCCTCCTTCCTCCTCCTCCTCCCTCCATCCTCCTCTCCTCCTCCTCCTCCCTCCTCCTGCTCCTCCTCCTGCTCCTCCTCCTGCTCCTCCTCCTGCTCCTCCTCCTCCTCCTCCTCCTCCTCCTCCTTCTCCTCCTCCTCGTGCGCCACCCTGTCCCCCTGACACATCGCACTCCATCCTCCGTCCGTTCCTCCCGTGTCCTGTTCCGGCTTCTTCTGGAGCGGTCGCATCTCTTGGATCCAAGATCCTTTACGCCAGCTTGGCGGCTTCATCGCGGCTCACAACATGGCGACGAGCTGGTGCTCATCCTGTGACCGGTTGCATGATATCTGCGAGCGCAGGGTAGCGCC